TTGACATATATTAATTAAGTATTTTTATATGAGCGATCTTGACAACATTTCTTGTTTTTTTTTATCAAAGTAGGAAGTTAATACATCTATTATTCGAATAAGCGAAGCTTAGTGTTTTTTGGCACACATTAATAAATTATAATATTATATTATATATATTTGACTGAAAAATCACGTGCGCCGATCACTTTGGCAAGAAAAAATCAAATCGGAATTAATTACTTATTCTCTACTACGAAGCACCATTATCTGTTTGCATCAAAAATAATCCACATTCCGAAATTAATCTGAATTATTATCGGATATATAATCTATTTTTCTCCGAGATATTTTAACACCTTGTGCTTTCTCTGCTAAATTTGTACATTTACGCGAGTCTCCGACTCATCTGGCAAATAAAAGCAATAAAGCTTCCACCGATTTATCACTTTCGAAATTGTATAATTTGCTTTTATATTTAGAAGAGGATATAATGGCAATTCAGGAAGAACTTGGTATTGTCGGTTATACTAACCAAGAAATGGTGGACGAAGCTGATAAAAATGCAAGAGCATATCTCCAAAAGTTTGAGAAATTTCATGGTCCCTTAGAAGATGTTCCAAGTGTGATATTACAAAAATTTTGCAAAATGGGGCTAAAAAAAATTTGGTTTACTGGAGAGGGACTTCCATTATTTCCAAATGCCTCTCCTCAACAATTACATGAGGTTTTCGTCAAAAAAACGGCTAGCGTTAATCAGTGCCCGTGTCTAGAATCAAAAGTAAAGCAAGGAAAATTGTCACAGATATATATACACCACAGCAAATAAAAATTCTTTGTCTGAAATTAGCCAGAGACTGTCGAATACCTGATTACCCACTCCATTCTTCTATAGTCAGAATAATCCCGCCAGTCTCTCTGATACAATCATTGATTAATGGCTCGAGCAAGACTATTTAATAAATTAGTTCGTTCTGAATCGGTCAATTCTGATGATACTCTAATTACAGAAATAAGATCTGTTATAGTATCTCGAAGCGTTATCTTTACCGGTGGATCTAATACCCTTAATGGATCTGGAACAAGTGGAGGTAGATCAGAATCTGAAAATTCATCATTGGAATAATCTGGATGTTCGATTTTAATTTTAGAATTAAGTTTTTTCATCACTTCTTCGCTAATCCCATTACATCCTTCCAAACTAAGATATTTCAAATTAGTACAGTTGCGGGCTATTTCCTCGACAGCTTTATTACCAATCGAACAGTTACCAAGCTCAAGATGTCTAAGTTTTGGACAAGAACGCACTATTTCAGCGATACATCAATTAGTGAGACATATACATGAATTAAGACTCAGATGTAATAGCTTTGGGCAATATCTTGCAATTTCTATAATTGGTATGTTAGAGAAACCATTACTCTGATCAAGAATGAGAGTGCGTATATCTGGGCATGAGCGTAGAATCGTACTAATCAATGCATCTTTGATTTTTAAACCTTCCAATCTGAGATATATCATCTTGGCGCAATAGATTGGCTTTATCTTTCCACACATGACTTTTTTAAAATTTATCAATTGCCGAGTAAGAACTCGAGGCATCTTACGACCATGCCGACCTCTCCGATAATCTTTTTCTGTAAAAAACTCAATACGTCACCATAGAATAGGAGCACCGCAGTGATACTAAAAGTGGTTGACGAATAAAGCAGGATAGAGAGATTGATTGATTTCTAAAAAATATAATATCTGTTCTAGTAATTCTGGTAAATCAAAAATATTTAGACCCTTTGGGTCATAATTCGAAGAATTGCCTAACGGCCTGCTCCGCAATAGTTGTACCATTCTCAAGTAATGTATTATTATATATCTTTAATCGAAAAAAATAACCAATATTCGGATAATTAATTTTAGGCAGATATACTATGCATTCTCCGGATATTCTCAATTGCACATAACCTCGCAACTAGTTCCATCATATAGGTCAATGATATCTGATACTTCGTCATATCCTTGTTTTAATAATTGCTTGCGTACGTATTTATTTTTTATATATTTATTTTCTATTGATCAAAAAAATAGATATATTTATTACAATAAGT